TGCCCTAGGTTTCCTGTGCAAAACAGTTCCTGTGTTGAAGTTGAGTCCTTTCACAAGTCCTTCCATAAGTCCGTCTGAAGTTCAGTCACAAGTCCTTTCACAAGACCAGTCACAAGTGACAGGGTGAACAGTGACAAAGGAATGCATTTGATACAACACCTTTGTCATTTGGATAGCTTGTGAATTTGCTGCATTCTGGATGAGTTGTAACAGACATGCAAAGGGAGTTCACGATAACACTTTCTAGTTCCAAATGATTTTTTTTCATTTTTTCTCCTCTACCAATGCAGATGGATTTCCCATTCTGGCGAGTTTCCAGCCACTCCGACCTTGCGGCGTTACACCACGCGCTCGATCTCGGCTACCTCTGAGAAGACTTCATCTGAAGACTTTTTAAAACCCACTACACGTGCCATCCATCTCAAAACGGAACATGGTGCTAGAACAATAACTGTGGCACTTGACAAGAACCTCAGTAACTCCAAAATTTAAGAAGAAAAATAACAGTGTGATGTATCCACGTATCAGTGCGTTGTCTTAAAAAAGCGCACTTCTAAAACTCATTGAAAAAAGAAGAGTTACAACCTGTGGAACGGTACTGCATTTCAAAGTGCTGGGGATCTCAGCGGCACTTGGTATCATCCAGTGCAACTCCCTCATGGTTCTAGAACTGGCGGACAGTTCGTCGTTCCTGAGTCGTTCTAGGTGTGAGATATGGTGTACAGAATTTGATGTCAACCGACTTCTCCATGAGTCGCAGAGTTTTGAGTTTTCGTCTTTTTGAGTGTGTCCACTGTGTTGAAAAAAATGTGCTCAAGAAATTTTCTTTGTTGTATCGATCTTGTCTTCATTTCGTGAGATGACCTCTTCTTCGCCAAGGGCAGAGCTTGATAAGTTGCCAACCAATGCCAGTAGTCATCGATCCTACATGCTACCTACAGTCAATATTGCCAAGATCAACGGTTTCAGGAAAAAAACCCAAACGTCCCAGTATCAGTCACCAACCTTTGGGAATCAGTGCCACGATTGGATTTGAGCCCCAAATGCTACAAGTCACTGCAACCACCATCTTTGCCACAACACCAGTGTCACTCAGCAAGGGCCAGAGTTTGAAAACAGTGGACTGTACATCTTTTTTAAAAAATTAAAAAGAAAAAAAGCTGCGTTTATCTCTCACTGAATCTCTGCAGAAATTGACAGTCAACAGTTTTATGAGCTGATTTATTGGTCATCCTGAGCGTCTGTGAGCCAACTCTTCACCAGGAATGGAATCTTGGTCCCTTTCCTTAGCTTCATTTGTCCACCTTGTATCTCCTGCATGACTAGCATATTGGAACAGGAACTGAGGCACCTCGGACAGCCTTCGAACCTGAGACCTCCAATTTGCTATTGGCTTCTCTGGGTGTTTCCAACTCATCTGTGCTTTACCTCCACACATCAGCGTCACATCTCCAAAAGTGACGTGGAAACTTGCTCCAAACTTGATCCCATTAAACGGTACTTTCCTCAGTAAACGACAAGACTTATACACTACACTCTGGCTGGTTTGTAAGCATATCAATCCAATCTGAGGTCTGGGCAATTTCACAAAGTTTAGTACTTGTTATCGCTCCCTTCCACATCATCACTCCCAGCATCTGCTCACTATGAATAAATTGGACTTGCTGTGCCAAAAAAAATGGAAGGAGAAAGTGACATGGATGGCCAGAAACCCACGGTGTAAACTTTCATTGAGTATACGGCAGAGCTCAATATCTCATTCTGTTTCAGAGATATGAGATATTTTCAAATTAAGTTTCGTCACCATTGAGACCACAGGTTTGAAAAAGTTGAGTCTAATACAGACTTATGCTTGGAGGACAACCTCCCCTTAATGTTTCCTAGCAACCAACATGTTTTGTTCAAGCTTAAAACCTGATATTTCAGTGATCAAAGATTTCTGACCCAAAAAAAAACAGAAATAAAACTTGAAGTTCACCCTCTCAACTCTAGGCGGAGCATTGCAGAGAAAAGCACAGTGCATCTTTTAATCACCTTTTCTTGGAGTGGGTCACAGATATAAAGAGTTTGCCAAGTATTAAGCTAGAATTCATCAAGGATTGGACATCGAATATTTATGTTCTTTAAATGTTAATAAGCAAACACCAAAGACAGTTGCTTTTCGTTTTCTTATGTCATATGCGTACATGTTTGAATGTAAAGCCCTATACTAATTTAGAAAACACACCATGGAATCCTTTTTTTATCACTGTCATAAGCACCCCAGTCATGTTGGCAATAACCTACGTTGGAACAATTTCGGTGCTGTATTTCATCTGGATAGCAACTTTTCTTTTTTTTAAGGATTATTACGTAACTGCGATTTCATATTTATTTTGATTTGTGCATGATTTTCAACCTCTCCACGTTGTACATAAATGCACTCTTGCATGCAGTTTATACATTGTTTTTTGAGGGGGTGCAAATCTGTACCATACTCTTTATTTGAAAGAATTTTCAGTTTTTACCTAGCCCAGATGTTAAATAAAAGTCTCCCTGAAAACCGTAGTCTTTTAAATTTATACAGGAGAGAGGAATGTATGAACAAATAATGTCCTGAAGTATGATAAACTAATTCAGACTTGTGAATAAGAAATAAAGACTCAAATTTTTGTCTCTTTTCCTAAGACATTTGCAAAATGGTCAAGCCAGAGTATTGACAAGATTGGAAACTTTAATTAGTCCTGTGAGGTATATAAATGAAAATGAATATTTTGGGGACAGGTTCGGTATTTATTGTCTAACAGTGTTTTTTTTCCCCTGTTACATATTTTCTGCATTTATTATAGACTAGTTCATTCTGGCCACTTTTGGCAGATAGTTTTGTTTTCAGTGGTATTTTATTTCTACATTGGTCCGAGAACAAAAAAGAGAGGCTGGTCCTCAATTGAATTGATTGGTAAATGTCATTTACTACCTCACAAAGGAACTGTTCTGATTGGTTGTTGCTGTTCATATGTAAATGAGGACCATAAAAGAATCACTGTGATTGGCATATATCAACTACCAATTCTTCTCATGGTGAAATAATGAACCAGTTTTAATCCATCACTAATTGCAATGTCAGGCACTCTAATTTCTACGATGTAAAATATATCCAACCTTTACCAAGTTCATTAAATCCACAAGGTATCTTATTCTCTATATTTTTTTTAATTCTAGTATGACTCATTTATTGTAAGGAACACCATAATCTCCTCGACTTCTTGTTTTAAAGTTTGAATGATTGAAAATGACAACTTGAATGAATGTGTAACTGCGACGTTCCTTGAAATGGTATACTTTAAGGAGTTTGTAGAAACGTGAGAGGAACGACATCAGTCATTCAGAAATCCAGAAATTTGCGGAAAGTGTCACTTTGTAATGACATAGCTCTGCTGCTCTGCAGTGCTGTGGTCTGGATATTGGATAGTGCTGTATTGCTGCAAACGGCAGAATAGCTGGCAAATTATCTAGTGTTACCCTCAGCAGGTAGTTCAACCCAAGCAAAGTCTCTGGTTCCTGGTGAGGGAATTCGGATCATTAGTTCTCTGAAACTGTTTGGAAAGTTGTATTGAAGCAAAATGGCTGATTTTTAGAGAGTATTTATGTTATTAGCGCATGTAAAATAATTTTGTTATTTATTCGGTCCAATTTTATTTACTTTCTGTGTCGGAAAAATTTCCAGGTTTTTGCTTTATGTAAGTTTTTTTTTCACCATGTGACTATCCAAGGAGAAACAAATCCATTGTCATCATCATCAATAGACACAGGCATTATTTGCAGTTTGTAATCAGTAGGGATCATGGTAGTTGCTGCCAGCACAGCTTTCACTGCTTTCACTGGTATCACACCCCGACCATCTTCACATTCTGTCCACCCAGCCCATCTTTGGTCAGAATGCACCAAACCCTCCAGACACCCATGTTTTTATGTCTCTTTAAGTAACGTCAGCTTGCCTCATGAGCTGAGAAAACAAGTCCAGGGTTTGGGATGTCTTTCCTTACAGACTGGAGTGGACATTATCTGGATTAGCCAAGCTAGTTACAGGACCATCTGCAGTTTAGCGTGTGGGCTGTTTGGTCAACCAAGGTTCTGTTCAGTTATCTTCAAAGGCAAACTGGATTGATAAACATCTGGGTTAGTTAAGCCAGTTACAGGAGGATCTGGTGTTTAACCTTTTACCTTTTGGGTCAACCAAAGCTTTTATCTTTTCAGTCAGGAGAGTT